TTAAAAAAAAAAAAAAGAAGACTAATTTCACTAGAGTGTATAAATATTTTTATAATAATTATATCAGTTTTAAACAGGATCAATAAAAGCCATCAAGTAAGCAAAACAAATATAACTCTACAATGTATACGTCAAATCTTACTTACTTAGTTTCTCCGTCTGATACACCAACAACTCTAGCTTCTTCAAGATGAGGCCAATTAACAAAGACAGATTTTCCAAGCACTGAAGAAGCTATATTTTCTATACTCTTAAAGTAAAAGCAGAAAAGTTCACTCATGTTTCAGGTCCAGGAGAAAATTTTACAAAGGCAAAATTAAATAATTAAAAACTAGCTTGCATTTATAACTATGTTTAAAATCAATAAAGACTCAACTTAATAATTACAACAGGTATCAAATACCATTTACTCACTTGTGTCATTTATTCCCTATGCTCTTTTCAACCTTTCCTGCTCTTTTCAACTTTTCCATCTACTTGAATTCAGTTAGTTCTCTTTTTAAAAAAAATTTTTTTTAAATGTTTATTATTGGGAGACAGAGAGGAGCGTGAGTGGGGGAGGGGCAGAGAGAGAGGGAGACACAGAACCTGAAACAGGCTCCAGGCTCTGAGCTGTCAGCACAGAGCCCGACGCAGGGCTCGAACTCACAAACCATGAGATCATGACCTGAGCCAAAGTTGGACACTTAGCCGACTGAGCCACCCAGGTGGCTCCCATTAGTTCTCTTAATTTGTCTTCTCTAAGTTGTACCTTTATTGCTAACTACTTTTTTTCTTTCTAGTACATTTCTATGATTTCTGTTTAGTTTTTTTTCCTTTTATTTTAAAATATATTTTTAAGTTGTTTTTAACCATGTGCCTTTCCTTACCCTTTATTTTAGTATGAATCTGTTAAAGGTGACCAAGTTTATCTTCCTCTTTACCAATCTCTTCTTATTAGAGAGGCACTATGACCAACTTAAAGTACTTTCCTGCACTATAAACATTATGACACCAGGAAGCTCGTCTCCTTCTCATTTTCTCAACAGCAATGGTAGTTACTAGTAAATTTTAATTTTAATCCTGAATGAAATTACTTGGTGAGAAAATAGGTTTCAGTGAAATTAAACAGAAGAGCACTGACCTATAATGTATTACTGTCCGTAATAATGGCCAACATTACTAGAAATAATGTGTAGCAAGAAACCTAGGTTCTTAGGTCTGCTAATGGTCCCTTTTCTAATCTCCATTTAAGTTTCTTAATTTGTAAAAGTAATAAGTTGGAACAGATGCTTTACAAAATTCTATATAGTTGTAAAATTCTATGATTCTATTATTCTCATGATAATAATATCATGTATAATTCCATGATTTTCTCATGGAAACGGAAAAGTGAAAAGACAGCAGAAATGAGAAAACGGCTATTATTCATTGTTTCATACCATATAATCAGATAACAGAATCTAAGAAATCTGATTTCATTTCAGTCTGTAGTTGGTATAATGAAATAAGAACCCTAGACTTAAAATTAGGAATCATTGGTACAAATTTGCGTTCCACCTCTTTCCAGCTATAGAATCTTAGGCAAATCATTTAAACCCCACTGAGACACAGTTTTCTTCTGTGAGAATAAGAAATAATATCTACCTCACAATGTTTATTTGGTGATAAAATAACATACACAAAAGCCTTTATAAACTATAAAATGCTATGTAAATACTCTGTATGAAATAATATGCTAGGTAAAATTCTAGTTTTAAAAGGAAATATAATTATTATTATGATTATTAAACAACTTTTTGGTAGAAAATGAAGTTTAACTACACATTTTCATTCAGTTCTTTTGTTTATTATGCTTAATTATTATTAGCAAATGTTTAACAATTAGAGATGACCAGTTTTATTTTTTTTTTATTTTTAATTTTTTTTCTAAATGTAGGCTCTTTTTTTTTTTTTTTAACGTTTATTTATTTTTGGGACAGAGAGAGACAGAGCATGAACGGGGGAGGGGCAGAGAGAGAGAGAGACACAGAATCGGAAACAGGCTCCGGGCTCTGAGCCATCAGCCCAGAGCCTGACGCGGGGCTCGAACTCCCGGACCGCGAGATCGTGACCTGGCTGAAGTCGGACGCTTAACCGACTGCGCCACCCAGGCGCCCCAGAGATGACCAGTTTTAGACTTCTGCATTAACTTTTAATTATATTCAGACATTTCTTAATGTCAACATATAAAACAAAACAATGGTTTCTGATAAATAAAACAAGTTTTAACATTAAAATTAGGATCCCATAATTATCCTTTTCTCCTCTATACATCTATTTCTATTTCATTCTCCCACTTCTCCCCTTTAGTTTTCAAGGGAAAAGTTGTCAGTTTCTCAGGTTAATCCTTTCACTTAAGGCCAAGATGAGACTCCTTAATACCTCACATGGGGTCTTCTTATCATAAACATCTCTTCCCTCTACACTATCTTTAAGACCTCCTTTCTCCATTAGCTCTACCTGTCTTCTTTTAACATGGATTTAGCTTGTTAAACTGTCTGTTCTCTACCTACAGTTATGTTTCTAGACCTCTTTCAATGATAATCTTAACTGAGGGCCTAATACCTGCTATGTCTAATTTCCACCTACCTAGTCCCCGGATTAGAAGTTAGGAATGAAATCTACTGGAATGAAATCCTCAAAGGCCAATAATGGTGCCTGAAGGACAAATTCACAGACCTTGTTTTATTCTTCTTGCACTGTATGTAGTATCTACTCCATATTTCTGTGATATTACTTAATTTGGAAGTCATTTTCTCTCAACTCTCTGTATGTTATTATCATTTTCACTGGTCCCTTTTCCACCCTTTATAACTATGGGTATTTCTTAAAGCTCAGATCTTAAACCCTCAGAGTCTATTTTCTTCAGGAAAATGAGCTCCAAGGCCCGAGCCATCATCTCCTTGCTGATGACTTTATATCCTTATCTCCCTCCAAGCTCCAGCTCCAGGTATTAAATTGCAGCCTTTCTGGGCTGAGGTTTTTTCACCTGAACCATAGAACACAAAACATAATTTGACTATTTTCCCAATTCTAATCCCACTCTAAATGTACAGAAGATAAGTTAATCTACCACATTCAAATGGATGACTTAGGGCATCCAGTCTTAGATCTCTTAATAGAACTCTTACTGAGAAAGACTGGCAGGGCAGCTCCAGTTAAATGTCTTAGCATTGCCTTAAAATTTCATCATTATTTATCATTAATCCCCTCAAACCAGAGACTTCCCACTTTAACTTCTTTATTTGGAAAACAGCAATTATTTTCTAGTTAATTAGGCTGGATATCTGAGAGTCGTATTTAGTATTTTCTTCCTCTTTTCATCCCCTATGTTATATGAACAAATGATGAAACTTGTCAATTTTATTAGTCTTGTTCATCCAGATCTATTACTATTTCCACAGTTTTTGTCCTTAACACCTAACACTTCTGTAACCACAACCTCTGAACTTTCAGGCTTTTTTGTTTCTTCCATTTCTCTTTTGTGCAGTTTAGTCTATTATATTGCCACCAAATTAATCCTTACGAGAATATGATTTCCAGATAACAGTTATGGGGGGGAAAAAGTCCAAACTCCTTTTAGCCTAGTATTCAAGGTCCTCCACAATCTGGCTTCAACCTGTTTTTTCAACCTTATATTCTATTATTTCCCAACACAAGTCCTCTGCTTCAGTCAGGTTTACCTAGTTCTTCGCCTCAGATATATCACATTTATTCTAAAAAAGGAAAAAGTATTAAGAAAAATTTCAGACATACAAAAAGGTTAAAAAAGTATGATAATGTATCACATATTTATTTTTGACCACAATTTCCAGCTTAAGTTATTCCTTTCAACTGGAATACCCTTCCCCTCCTTTTCTTCGCTCTGTGGCAATCTTTCTCATAGCACTCAGCTCAAGCCTAGTCTCATCTACAAGCCTGTACTTAACTCACACAGCTTATCTCCTTTTCAAAATCTGTGGAGCATTATTTGCTCATTAGATCACAATTACATGTGTTCTTTAAAATCTGGGTAAAGGTTTCTTTATTTGCTATGAACTTTTGAAGTTACTACATGTTATACCTCTTTGATAAACACACTGAAGCTAGAACAGTTTTATGCATAATAAGCACCTAATAATATACAATAAAGAAAATACTTACAAGTTCATCTGATTCTGCACTCAGTAAGATTTCTAACATCATGTTTTCTCCACGACTACTTTGTTGGAATACTTGAACCCCATTTTTCTTCAAAAAAAACTTTAAAAGAATTCAGAGAGTTTAATTTAATTCTTTCTCCATAATCACTTTACATTCAATAAGGTGAAAAAATTCTGAACTAAACAGCCACTGACTTTGTGTTTGATGTGTTTCAGAGTAGGAAATCCACAGAAATATAATGCCTTCTGGTCAACCCTGGTTATTTTGTTCTTGCTTATGTCTACACGCCAAGCATCTAATGATATTATTTTATACCTAGAAAATAAATCAAGGCATTTAACATTCATACAAATTACAAGCAATCACAGTTTTTCAGTATTCCCTAGATTTTTTTGCAAGAGTCATCCTTGCTTTTAAGCAAGGGAATGACAATTTGTCTTTTAAGACAAAGAAAATATACAGCAGAACAACCCAGATTCTTTGTTATTATTGATCTAGACCTAAATATGCCTATAGATTACTGAATGGAAGTTTTCCCCATTAACTTA